TTTTTAATTAATTTCTGTTCGATGCTTATTCAGGCCTGCAGCCTATGGACGGCCTCTACTATTGTTTAACACCTCAAACAGTGGCTAGCCTGTGAGGAATGGTCTTGTCTGTTGACAAGAATGCCACCTGTTGGCGGCAGGAGTAAGATAATATAGAATCCTATATTATATTCTATATTATATCATACACACTATATATATTATTCTATATATATACACGTATATATATACACACATATATGCACACTATATATATTATACATACATATACTATATTATCCTATATTATATAATAGCATATATTATCTTACTCCTGCCGCCAACAGGTGGCATTCTTTGTCAACAGACAAGACCATTCCTCACAGGCTAGCCACTGTTTGAACGTGGAGGCAAACGTAAACCACCACCATAGTCAAACGCTATAAACCATGTGTGACGTTCAAAGCCATATCTCCATAAAAAGAAGAGGTATGGAAACAAAGTAAAGTTTGAGTGTGCGGTGGATGCCCAACGCTAATTTAGATGTAATTTTTATCGAGTTGCATGTAATATATCATCGGTAAAATTAGGCAAGCAAATGTTGAATTTCACGTGTTTTAGAGTGTCATACTCCTCCTATATTATCTTACTCCTGATACTAATATAAACACAAATAATTAAATTTATTAATTCTGAAATTTAATCAGATCTGGCTTGTATACGGCGATGATGCTTTAATAGTGAATTTTATTCGTTTCTATTTGATAAATGCAAGGGGAGCAGATACATCATAAACAGTGATCAACTACTGATATCTTTATATAATCAGATTATTACATAAACTAATATCAATATATAAAATGCAAAATCTTGTGACGTATGACTGTTATTTTTAAAGTCAGCATTATTCCGGAAACTAGTGTTCGGTAACGTAACATGTACTATTACAATACACAAATTAGTACAGTTAAAACATCAACGGAAATTGAACATTTCTGTATGCGTATCCTCCAATAATATTATTGTGTTACAACTGTAACGAACTATCACCGGTTCCCACTAACCAGTAACCATCTATTTTTAACTTGGCACTCAGCAACACGTTTTTTCTGCCACCTACTTGCTCATTTAGTCTATCAGTAACCAATTTACAATGTTTTTGAGCAACTGCTTTGATTGCGCCCGCACAAAATTTGCCATGCGTTTTTATATTAGTTTTTTTTTAAGAGGCGCCACGGAAACGTTTCAAAGACAACCTAAACGAAAACTTCGCGTGCTATTGAACTGGACAAACGAGAGCAGTCGGCATTGTAACAGATCAAAGTGACGTTCGATGGACCACAGAACATCAGTCACGTTTGAGAACGACCGCACTGGAATACTCATCACTGTCAGAAAACAGACCCACGACGAGATAGCCGTACCAGAAGCCCTTTAATGAAGATCATCAACAGCCTCGGTCTGTCTCAAAAGCTCCTCGGTCTAGCGTATCAGTGTATGTGCTTCACGGATTGGTCTATTCACTCGTTTACGTACACTCATCCATGACGTTCTGCTACACGGTTATCTTCGATTTGAAGGATTACACATTATTATCATCAGAAGTATCATCGTCTTGACATTGCATAGAAGTTACGGAAACCGGAACTTGGTAATAAGGTGGCTGATTAGATGAGAGGCAATTGTCTCTATGTGAGCGGTGCATTACGTGAAATCACTGCCGATATTCATGTTGACGCCAAATCGTTAAAGCAAGTGAATAATCGCAACTTCGGTTAATGTTTGCTTTCAGGACGACATCGCGAAGTATTTACGACGAGGTTTTCACGAAAGGTCCGTTACTAGTGGCGGTACTATAGCGCACAAATCCACCGCTCATCCGTCCTCCGCCGTTCCGAGTTGTGATACGTCGTAAATCCTGAAATCACGTGACGCATCAACTTGTCTTCCAGGCATGTGTGTACTTACCCCGTACAATTTTAGTCTATATACTTCAACTCTTATTGTGTATTTATTTAATATTTAACTGTTCTATTGCTGTGAGACGGCCATGTGGAAGATAGGTCCGCGTAATTTTATTGTGACTGTACCTAACATGTTTTGCCGTCGTTCAATAAAGTTTTTACTTACTTACTTACTATGTGTCACCGCGTAATCAGAGACGGCATTCACACGCACTGGGAAGAAACTTGTCGTCGACCATGTATCGCAATGAAAGGCCAACGAAGAATTCACTGGATCACAAAAATATCGGAGAGCGAGCGAAAATACAAATACTATATAAACTAGCTTTCTACAACGCAACCCACCTCCGGCAAAGGTATCTTACTATAATTCGGCGAATGTTGTATGTTAATCAAAGGCTCCGTCAGTTTGGATCCAAATAGCGCCAAATTCACAGAAGAGATCGATGAATACACGGGACGGGTTCTAAACTATACTCGGTTGAAAACCGTTTGTTCGGTCTTAAAAAAGACAAACAACACAAAAAAGGTAAAGATTTGCCTGAAAATAGGGGGCGCTGTTTTGTTTTCGTTCTGTTTCAACAGGTTTCAATTTCGTGTTGTTCTGTGTATCTGTGTTCTAACTTCTGTGTCTGTGTGTCTGAGATTTGTGTAAGCCCCATAATGTAAGTAGAAATAACCATGTAATAATGAAGTTAAATATTCAGTAGCTATTTGGCCATAGTTTCCCATATGAGATGTACAAGTTGAATTTCATCAGAGCAGATATTTTTTTTGGAAGTCTGCAATGCTGTACGGGTGTCGTGAACAGCGAGCTGTCACAAGCGGTCCGATCACAAGCACGTAATATTACGTCGTCCGCACAGAGTGCAAACATGCGTAGAAATAAGCGATCACAACCACGCAATATTACCTGGTCCGCACACAGTGGAAACATGCGAAGCACGTAATATTACGTGCTACGCAGCCAAGTGGTTAATCAGTCGCCCGACCTACCAGCCCATTCAGATCTATCTATATTCTAACTTTGGAGTCCGTATCATCAACCAGTACATATCATACAATAAAACATTTCTGTGTGGGTGTGTGTATTTCACTGTGTATTTGCCAAACAAATCGTTAATGTGTTACGTGTAAGCATGATTGCACATGTATTTGTATTGACATCTCAACCATAAAAAAACAACTAAACTCTCCATATAACACCTTACACATAACACTACTGTACTGGTAACACATGCATCACAGTCACTAAGCCCGCGCGTAGCGCGGGTTTCAGCTAGTTGTATTAAAACAGCAAAAAGGAAATGCAAACAGAGAAGTGTCAATATTTTTTTTTAAATCCGCCGATAGCGACGTGTTCATGGGTAAAATGCATGTTGATATAATGTCACACACACACACACACACCAGCAACGTCGAAAACTGCATGTTTAGCCCAAAGTCATTATAACACAAAATATTTTCACGTCGTTTCGGTT